TCTCTCTCTCTCTCTCTCTCTCTCTCTCTCTCTCTCTCTCTCTCTCTCGTTGTCCCTATGTCCCCATTTTTAACTCACTTAATGTGTAAAAATAACCTTGACTGAATAAACAATTCACGACACAGAAGCCACAAGCAACTCTTTTAAACTAATCTGAACAAGAGAATATAGTGAAGATTTCCAACTTAACAGAAAAGACACATTGCTTCAATAGATCAATACTTATCAGAATTTTAGAAATATGTAACATATTTAATACTTTCATCAACTTGGAGATCACATTTACAGGATCACCAACTTGTAACATCAGAACATGCCTGAAGATTCTCACATTCTCAAATTCCTTTCAATATCCATTTATAGACACTATCTGCAAGGGCTTCCCCATCTGGACTGTAATTATGGTATTATAAAATAAGAATCAATACTAAACTCAAGAGAGCTTTTGGGGAATTTTCCTAGAAAAAAAAAATCTAAGATTGCGCTAATTAAATTTATCCCTAAAGCTTCTGATAAGAGTAGTTGCTAACAATGCAGATTTAAGACCCCCCCCCACTCCAGTAAAACTATTCACTGTTCTTTCTAGTCTCTACAATAGTGCTATGTCTTAAGACAGTTGGCAGCAGAAACCCAAAGAAGGAAGGAAATATCCATGAGAAAAGGTGTTACTAAGAGGGATTCTTTAACCCCAGGAACTGGCTGAGCAATTCACAAGTGTGTTATGAGCTGACTGGGTGCTGCCCTCAATTTATATGCGGAGACCCTAATCCCTAATGTGGTGATATTTGTAGGTGGCTCCTTTGAGAGGTAACCAAGGTTAGATTAGGTCATGAGTATAGGGCCTCAGGATGGATTAGTGCTCATAGAAGAGGACACAGTGGAGAAGATGCCTCATACAAGGAGGAGACACGATCTCCATTCCCTTCCTCTCTTTCTCTCTCTCCAAGTGCACACACCAAGAAAAGGCCATGAAATAAGTAAATGGCACGGCAAGAAGTGGCCATTTACAAGCCATGATGAGAACCCTCACCATTGATGAAACCCTGCTAGATCTAGACTTTGATCTTGAAATTTTCAGTCTCCAGAAATATAAAAAAACAAATTCCTGCTGTGTAAGACATTCAGTCTATAGTTATGAAAGTCCAAGCAGACTAAGACATTGTGTAGTCTTGGGACAGACATGCAAAGGAGGTATTTTACTCTTGCTTTTATGGCAAAAACTTAAGCTTAATGAGGGAACATATTTGTCCAGACCAACGAGTAATAGAGATGAGACTTGAGTCAAATGTATGAAAGATGGTATGTCATGAGCTTTGTAATGTTTTGAACAACCAATTTAAAAAAAAAAAAAGATTCCTACAAAGGTCTAAGGAATCTAAAAAAAAAGAGAGAGAGAGATGGGAGGTGTTATTTGCATTCTTTCCTGTGCATATTACCTTTGGGTTGTAATTCTTCATTGTTCTATCAGATGTCCTATGCCTAGGTCTTGTGTTTTCTCTATTCCAGACTTTCATAAGTTCACTGTTCAGTGAAGTAAGTAAGAAAAATCTCTAGATGAGAATACTAAGAGCCAGATTCTAATTCTGGCTCTGCACTTTCTACCTGTCTGAGTCTTGGTATCCTCATTTGTAAAACAAGACACATGATATTTGATCTAAGTGCTTTTTGTAGTTCAAAGTGAAAATATTGACATTACCGGGCAAATTAGTAAAAATAACCAAATCATGCATTTTATTTATGGAATAATCCTTTCTTCCCAAAATAATAAAGTGTTCTTAAGTTGTAAGTACAAGTATTTATAGCAAGTATTTCTAATTTTATATAATCTCTGAAATATAATATTTTAAATTTTTAAAAAAAGAAACTTGAACTGAATCCCACTTGCTCCAAAGTGCACACCTGCTATCATCATGTGAGGCTGCCTGGCAGCTCTGTGTCGACGGGCCTACTCACCCTTGTGTGCTCAAATCTCAGCCTGGTCTGTGACACACAGCAGGCCTCCATAAATGTTGAATGGAGTCAGCTTACTTTGATGGAACTGGACTCTCTGCTGTTAGGCAACATCTGAGCAATTCAATCCTCACCTGCTTTATTTACAGCCTAGCCTCATTTTCAAAATACATACAAGGTTACAATCTGTTGATGCCAAGGCATATTATCCCTATGGTAGGAAGGGCAATCATAAACCTGTTCTAAAGGATCACCACAGAAGGTAACTCTATTTAAAACAATTTACTCGAAATCTTTGAGTAAAATCATGGATGGTCAGCCCAGCAAACCACAGAGAGCTTAAGAGATGTCTTCTGAGATGCACTAAAGAAGTGTGTATGCACATAAAGTGATCTGAGAATATATTCAAATACCCCCAGGGGGGCCAACTGCAAGCATCAGAGCCAAGATCACGAGCAAGAACAGAGCAGTAGGGGTGCTCCACGTGAGCATGTCAGGAACATTGGTGTCTGTATTGGTTTATGGCAGAACTTCCAGTCTTGGAGAAGGAAAGACAAAATTGAAACAGCTTAGGGAAAATGCTGGGGGGACATGTGTGTCTTAGAAAGTTAGGGAAGATAACACTTAGAGAACAGCTAAGTAAGGATGAGGTTAAAAAGTAAATAAATAAATAGCCTGTTGAAATAATTTTAGCTAAAACAGGAAAAGAAACTCCCCAGTTTGGTCTGACAAAGAGTGATATCAAAACACTGGTTCTCAAAGTGTAGCCACCAGCATCAAACCAGAAATGTGATTGAAAGGTAGAGTCTCAGATTCTATCCCAAGCCACAGAATCAGAAGCCCAGAGGATGGTTTCACAACCCATGTTCTAACAAGCTGCCCAAGAGGTCTTGAGGTATACTCAAGTTTGAGAATCACTGTTTTACAGTAATTTAATAAGGTAATCACCTTTGCATAGTTTTTCATCTGTAAATTGGGAAGGCTTGAATATGTCACTAGAATCACATCCACTTCTGGGATCCACAGAACTAAAGACAAAGCCAAAAGTGTGGAATAAACTTTGGGATTTAGGAAATAACTCCCGAATTCAGAAATAATTGGATGGTGCAACATTCTTTTATGAAACTCCAGTTTCTTTAGGACAAAGTCTGTCTCTCTACACAGATGTGATTTGAATTAAAAAGAGAGTCCATTAAGATTAACCAAATGTTTCTTTTAAATGATGTCATTAAAAACATTTAATACATTTCAGTAAAAACGATGGGTATTAGACTGGGGATGACAATGATAATGATCTTCATAGCTTAACAACCTGTTGGGTTTTTTAAATTAAAATTTATATCTCATGATCTTTCAAAAAAAGGGACCTAAGGTGAATTAAAACCATGAATTGAGATGAAGTGTTGACTTTGATTTGTGTTATTTCTGGAAGCAGATTTTCTTTCTAAATTATTCATGATTAAATATATTCTTTTATCTCTAAATCTGAGCTGGTGTACAAAAAAAAAAGTCCCCGGTTGCACCCATATGAATTTGTGAAGAGTCTAAAAATATACTGCACATAGTTCTGATTTCTGTAGATGCTAAGTTAATGGGAATCAGAAGCTTTAAAAAAAAAAATCCTGTGAACTAAGAAAATTTTAACTTTATCTTTCTTGACTTTATTTAAAATTTAAACTAGTTCTTAAAAAATACCAAGTCACATAGACACATGGTAAAAACTTCAAATTACACTGAATGCCAAATGAAAAGTATGTATCTCCCTCCCACCTGGGATCCACATTTCCATTCCCCAGAGGCAGTATTTAACAGTTTGGGGTATATCTTTCCATACAGATACTGTACTCATTTGTTTTCATTTCACCTGATGATATAGTAGTTTTTTCATCTTTCTTCCCCAATGTTCCAGTTATTTCATTATGCATAACAAATCACTCCAAAATGGTGACTTAAAACAATAGCAATCAGTATTTTCTCACATAGTTTCTGTGGGTCACAGATTCCAGAGGACTAGGTTGGGACTTGACTCTTTCACAGTCAAATGGTGGCTGGGGTTATGAAAATGAGATGGCTGGCATGGATTTTATCTTATCCCAGGGCCCCTCTATGTGATCCTTCTGAATGTGTTATGTGTAGGCTCACTCATTTGAGGGGCTCCCTCAGAATGATTATGTAGAAGCTAGAGGCTTCACTAATCACATGGTTGTGTTCCCAACAGAAAGGTGGACACTATTGTATGCCCCAGCCTCAAAATCACATAGGATTACTTCTGTTATAATGTTAGCCATGACAGTCACAAAAGCACAATTTCAATGGCAAAGAGAACAGATCCTATCTTAACAGGAGAAGTGGCATGTCAAAGGGCTACCATTTTTTTAAAAAATATCATCTGCTGCTGAACAAAAAGGTCTGATTCATTATTTTCTAAATAGTTGCATTACATTTTATTAATGTACTACATTTAATCAATCCCTCCCATCATCCACCAGTCCTTTGTAATTATTTTTGAATTATAGTTTGAAACTCTCTTCAGATGCCCCTCCTTTCTAATTCATCCACACCTGGGGTAGGCAAACTGTGGAAGGCAGGCCACATGCTTTTGTAAAGATATATTGGGGCACAGCCACATCCATTCATTTACATACTATCTCTGGCTACTTTGAGGCTACAGTGGCAGAGTAGTTGAGCAGCCACATTGTTGTAGCAGAGACCATGGATCTAACAAGACCTAAAATAGTATCTGTTCCCTTAAGAAAAAGTTTGCCACCCCTTATCTCCACTTTTGGAACAGATAAGGCCCTTATATCAATCATTTACATATCTTTATTGATCAGTGTGCTTTAG